TTTTTAACTGATACATGATAATTGTACAGACTTATGGGGTACACTGTGATATTTTGACAAATGTATACAATATGTAATGCTCAAATCAGGGTAATTAGCATATCTGTCATCATAAATCATTTTCTTATATTGAAAACATTTGAAATCAATTCTCCTAGCTATTTAAAAATATACAATAAATTGTTATAGTCATTCTATAATGCTATAGAATACAATAATTTATTCTTTTTTAGCTGTACTTTTGTATCTGTTAGCCAGTCTTAGTGTGTCCTTCCCTTCCTCCTATCCTTCTCTGCCTCTAGTAATTAATATTCTACTCTCTATTTCTATAAGATCAACTTTTTAAGCTTCCAAATATGAGTGATAACATGTCATATTTATCTTTTTGTGCTAAGCTTATTTTATTTAACATAATGTCATCCAAACTCATTAATATTGCAATGAAAGAAAGAGGTGGTTTAGAGGTGGCTTAGCCTCAAAGATGAAAGGGAACCTTGGCTACTCACCCCCAGAGCAAGACACACTCCAGCCATAGTACCAATACTAAGATGGTGTAGTGGAGTAGCTGTGTAAGCCACAGTGTCTACTCCTCTGGAAAGATCACAGCTATGTGGACTTCAGGAAACTCCCCTAGCTGGGTTTTGTGTCTGTGAGGACTACAGAGGGACTCCACTGGTAAGGTCTGTAGGTGTCCAAGGAGTTGATGCGGACTGCTGGGAACTTCTTGCTTTATTTCCTCACTGTAGAAAGAAGTTCCTCCTTGTTCCCAGCTGATTCCAGTTGGGGAATGAGATGGTTCAGGCCTGGCATTTTCTTGTATTCTTTACATGGCTATCCCAAGTTTGTTATTCCTCTGGTACACTCCTGCACTCTCTCTTCATTATTTTTTCATGTGGCTGTAAGTTATAGCTGCAGGTCTAGTGATAATGAGCTAACTCAACTTTTATTTATCTGGAAATGTCTTAATGTCTCCCTCACTTTTAAAGGACAGTTTTGCCAAATACAGGATTCTTGGACAATAGCTTTGCTTTTTTTACTTTTAGCATTTTGAATATATTGATCCACTGTCTTCTAACCTCAAAGTTTTTGATGAAAAATCTGCTGATGATCTTATTGAGTATCTCTTGTGTGTAATAATTGCTTTTCTCTTTCTGATATCAAGATTCTTTGTCTTTCAAAGATTGATTATAATGTGTTTTTGTGTGAGTCTTTGTCAGTTCATTTTTTCTTGGACTTTGTTAAGCTTCTTGGATGTTTATGTTTACATCTTTCCTCAAATTTATAAAGTTTTCTTTCTTCTTTCCTTTCCCTCCCTCCCTCCCTCCCTTCCTCTCTCTCTCTCTCTCTCTCTCTCTCTCTTTCTTTCTTTCTTTCTTCTTTCTTTTTTTTTGAGATGGAGTCTCCACTTTGTCACCTGGGCTGGGGTGCAGTGGTGCAATCTTGGTTCACTGCCACCTCTGCCTCCCAGGTTTAAGCAATTCTCCTGCCTCAGTCTCCCAAGTAGCTGGGACTACAGGTGCCTGCCACCATGTCCAGCTAATTTTTGTATTTTCTTTTTAGTAGAGGTGGAGGTTTCATCATATTGGCTAGGCTGGTCTCAAACTTCTGACCTTGTGATCCACCTGCCTTGGCCTCCCAAAGTGCTGGGATTATAGGTGTAAGCCACCACACCCGGCCCTGTTATTTCTTTAAATATACTCTCTGCTCATTTCTTTCTCTCTCTTTTTTTCTTCTGGAATTCTCACATTTTATATGTTGGTCCACTTGAAGGTGTCCTATAGGTCCCTTAGGCTCTGTTCAGTTTTCTTCAATGTTTTTTCTTTCTGTTCTTTACACTAATAATTTTCATTTTCTTTTCTCAGATTTACTGATTCTTTCTTCAGTCTGCTCAAATCTGCTTTTGAATCCCTCCAGTTAATTTTTCATTTCAGTTATTGTACTTCTTAACTCTAAAATTTCTTTTTTCCCCTTAGGTTTTCTACATTTCTATTTATATTTCCATTTTGGTCATATGTAATTTTCTTTTCTCCACCTCTCTCTTAGTTCTATTAGCATCTTTAAGGTAGTTTTAAGGTGTTTGTCTACTATACCTGCCATGTGTTCTTTTTCAGAAAACATGGTTTATTTTTATTCTTTGAATGGCCCATACTTTCCTGTTCTTTGTATGCCTTCTGATTTTTTTTTTTTTTTTAAACTGGGC